GGCCTCCACAGCATCCCCTCCAAGGAGAGTGCATCTGGTCAGAGCAACACCCGTGGGGGCCGCACCCATCCGGGCCCCTCCTGCCACATCAGCACCAGCCACCAGGGCCACCGGGGAGACCCCAGGTGAGGGGCCGGCTGCCGGAGGAGAAGGGGCCTGGGCTCGCCGCTCCTCCTCTGCACCCTGGATGGCCATGTGTGGGAGGAAGGGAACAGTCAGGGGCAGCAGGGGACTGGGCAGGGAGGGGTCAGAGGGAATCATTCATGCAAACCCGACAGCGAGCATTGGGGCAAGTGGGGAGGGGCTGGAAAGCAGATCCAGGGGAGTCACCGTGGAGGCTGCACAGGGGGGTCGGGTGCCCATCTCGAGGGCACGGGCTCCAGCCAGGCCCCACAGGGCAGGCCCCTCCCACCCTCACCTCCACTGCCGCCTGCCCTAGGTGCCCGCTCCCCCAAGTTCTCCTGGCATGAGGGCCAGAAGCGGCTGCCGCTCATCGGGTGCGTCCTCCTGCTCATCGTGCTGGTGGCTTCCCTCATCCTGCTCTGTGAGTGGACAGGCCGGGGAGCATGCGCCGTGGGAGGGGGGGCGGTGCTGTGGGGGGTGCACCATGGGGGCATGTGCCATGGTGGGGGTGCTGGGCACAGCAGGAACACGGAGGCCACCACTGCAAACGGCCTCGGACACGGTGCCCCAGGCCCCTCTGATGCCCGGTTATGAGTGTGGGGAGTCAGAGAAGCCTGGGCTTCCGGCCCTGTCCTCCCCTGAGCCGCGCCCTGGGCAGGTTGGTGCACCACTCAGAGCTCAGCTTCTGCATCTTCAAATGAGATGGAATTCATGCGTTCACTCATTCATTCATTCATTCATTCAACTTACTACGTGGCCAGGAAAGTCTCATAAAGAGTTCACAGGCGATGAGGAATCAGTGAGATATGGCACAAGGCCTGGCACAGCGTCCCACCGGGAAAAGCTGGTTATTACCAAACAAACATGAGCGCTCCGATTAGGGGAAGTCTCCGGGCGTTTCCCGTCACTGAGATAAGTGGTTCTGGGTTCAGGGGTTCCCCTCTTTGGAAATGACACTCAGGACGTGTCCCGGGCCCTCTGTCAGGGGGTCCGCTACAAACCCAGCACAGTGGGCCTGGGGGGGGGGCACCCTTCTCTCTGTGAGCAGCCCTTCCCTCTCCCTGTGCACCCTGCCACCTGCCTCATGTGCCTGGAGAGCCCCGTGTGTCGCGTGGGGGCGCCTGGCCAGGGTGAGAGCTGGAATGCAGGGAGGGCTGGGGGTGCTGTTCAGGGCCAGCAGTGGGGGGACGGGGGCAGGGCCGTTGGAGCGAGGGCCATGATGGGGGGCCGTGTGCTGGTTGGAACACGGCTTCGGTGCCATGCAGACCTGCCAAACCACGGGCCCTGCACCTGCCCAGCTGGTGACCCGGCAGGGCAGTACTTTCCTGAGCTTCACGCCCCACTGGCCCAACGAGGTGGAGGCATGGCTGTCACGGTGCCTGTAAGCCCGCCACGTGGGTCCACATGAACCTCGTCCAGGGCTCGGGGCTTGCTGCCCGCTCTCCCTTCTGTTCCCACAACAGGCACCTCCAGGGGATCCCCCGTCCACGGAGAGCCCTAGGACGAGCCTCCTGGCATAGCCCCCGCGTGCTCCCGTGGGCTCCCGCATGCCCGAGTCCTCTGGCCCGTATCCTGCCAGCTCCAGGGAGGGGTCACGACTAGAGCCCAGGCCTGACTCCCACCCAGAGCTTTCCCCACACGTGAAGGGGACCATGGCCCGTCCAGGGCACAGGCTGTGGGAGGGGAGTGGGGCATGGAGGAGAGGCACACCCTGCAGGTCAGGAGGGATTGGCATCTGAACCTGGAAGGAGCAGTCACACAGGTGACCTTCACCCCCGGGATCACACATATCACCTTCACCTGGGGTCACATAGGTGACCATTACCCTGCAGGTCACACAGGTGACCTTCACCCCTGGGATCACACAGATAACCTTCCCCTGGGGTCACATAGGTGACCTTCACCCTGGGGTCACACAGATAACCTTCACATGGGGGTCACACGGGTGACCTTTACCCTGGGGTCACACAGATGGCCTTTACCCTGGGGTCACATAGGTGACCTTCATCCTGGGGGTCACACAGGTGACCTTCACCCCAGAGTCACGGGTGACCTTCAGCCTGTGATCACAGGTGACCTTCACCCTGGGGGATGGAGAGAATGGTGGGGGCGGGGAAGTAGGGTCAGGGCCGGGACAGGCGGGTGAGAAGTCAGAGCCGGTTTCCCTGGCCTCCCAGGGCCAGTGTGTCCAGGCGGAGGGCTGACAGCTCTGGTGTGGAGTCAGGTTAGAGACAGGGAGTCAGTGTGAGGCGGAGATGGTTTGTGAAGCTTGTGCGTTTGGGCACCAGCATCTCCAGTTGCTCTCTGAGTGGGAAGATATTTAAAAGCACAGCTACAAGTCGTGGGGCAGGAACCGAGTGTAGGAGACAGGACATCCGGGAGCCCCTGAGGCCGAAGGCCCTCCGTGGAGCGCAGGCAGGTGCTTAGACATGTCTCTGCCTCACCCTGCAGAACAGAGGCCCGGAGGCTGAGGGGCTCAGAGGGGCTCTGGGGCTGGAGGAGTGGTGCCCTGGCCACCGCTCTGGCCGGCATGCAGGCAAGGGAGCTGGCGGGGCCATCCCCACGTCCACACCTCCCTCCCTCTCTCTTCTTCTCTCTCTCTGGGTGTCTGCTCAAGCCGGCCTGGTGCTGCCCTGCTTGCAGGAGCTTTCTGGCGCATTCTGGAACATTCCTGAGTAGCCTTTTTCTCCATACAGATGGGGGACGAGAGCCCCAGAGTTCGAGAGAGATTGCAGGTCGGTGTCTCAGAACCCCGGGCCTCGGGCTGCTCCGTGTCTCCTCGCCGTGGGGCTGGCGGTGACCGCGCTCTGTGCTTCATCTTTTCCAGTCTACTTCTGGAGGGGCCACACGAGGATCAAGTACAAGGAGGCGGCGGAGAGCTGCCCCCGGCACGCTGTGCGCTGCGACGGCGTGGCCGACTGCAAGCTGAAGAGTGACGAGCTGGGTTGCGGTGAGCAGGCTGGGTGTGCATGTGTGCACGTGAGTGTGCATGTGTGAGTGTGCATGTGTGCGCACGGTTGCACATGTGTGTGCGTGAGTGTGCATGTGTGTGCATGTGTGTGTGTGTGAGTGTGTGAGTGTGCACACTCCGGTGACTGCGCACTCGAATGGGAGGTGATGGACAGTGAATTGGAGGATTCGGGTTCTAGTCCCGGAGGCTTGTGTTTGAAACCTGGCCTGAGTGCTGTGTGACGCAGGCAAATCACTTACCTTCTCTGGGCGTTAGCCTATGTGCCCCTCCTCTTTGCCCAGCACATGACCTCTGACACCCCCTGTGGTTTCATGGAGGCGCGTTGTTACTGGCCGGCCTAGATGAGCGCAGAGGTGGTGCTGAGCTCCAGTTCTCAGCGGCTTTTGCAGGCTAACTGTGTGTGGCCCCGACGTGGACGGCTGTGAGGGCAGGGCCCCTCCACTCTTCCTGCACATTTACATGTGTCCTGCCCATGTCCGTGTCCATCTGTGACTGAGCCTGTCTAGTGAGGACACGGTCGGATCATAGATCACACCCCTCTTGTCACTCTCTTTTGGGCACGTCACTGCCTCTCGGGGTGACAGCTCCTGGCAGCACCTGCCCTTGTCCCAGTGATGGCCCAGGTCCTGCTGGATGGAGAGCCCTCTGCCCCACCCCAGCCCCTGCCCTGCCTCTGCCCTCACCGCATGTCAGGGGCTTCTAAGCACTGGCTGGTGCCCCTCACCTCCGGGGCCAAGCTCCCGGGCATTTCCCAGGCCTCAGCGAAGGGTCTCAGGACAGGTGCCTCTCAGAGCCTTACTCAGCTCATCCCCCCAAACGTGGCGCCTCCTGGGTGCTGAGGGCCCCTCTGCCCTTCTCGCCCTGCAGTGAGGTTTGACTGGGACAAGTCTCTGCTCAGAGTCTACTCGGGCTCCTCCCACCAGTGGGTCCCCGTCTGCAGCGACAGCTGGAACAGCTCCTACTCCGTGAAGGCCTGCCAGCAGCTGGGCTTTGAGAGGTAACCCTTCCCCCACACCCGGGGTCCTCCCGGCTTCAGGGATGACTCAGCTCTTTGCAAGGGCAGCTCAGGCGCCTTGCAGAGATCGCATGTTCAAATCACTCTTGGGGACCAGGGCTGAGGGCACTGGCTCGGGGCCCTGGGGCCGCACACGTCTGGGCCAGTGGTTTCCATGAGGCCAGCCCATAGCTCTGCAGTAGGAGCCACTCGTGCGGTTCCCTGCCCCTCATGCCCTTCCTCACAGTGAGAGGTCACTGCAGCCCCCTGAGGGCACAGGCACCTGGCAGGTCTAGGCTTCTCGCCTCTGGGACCTGGAAGCTCAGGCTGTGCAGCCCCTCAGTGGACTCTGCGCTGTGGCAGGGGTGGCCGGGCTTGAACTCACCAAACGGGAGTGAAGTGGGCAGGTGCGGCCAGGGAAAGGCATGGGAATCTCTGGCTGACGCCAGGAGGTGGAGGAGGGGCAGGGGGAGCTGTGACCTTCTGGGGTCCCAGTTTGCAGGCCACATGGTCACCTCCATGCTCCCTCTTGGTCTGTGTCTTGAAGTCAAGTAATGTTGGGGTCTGTCCATGTGTGCGAGGTTGTGGGGAGAAGAGCTTAGGACCTCACTGAGGGCTCTCTGTGGAAGAAGCTGCTAGAAAGCCAGGCTGGGGGACAAGGACTTAGACCCAGCTCTGTCCCTGCCTCCGGCTCAGCGTTCCCACCTGGGAAGGGGAGTCTGGGTGATCTTGTCAGGAGACCGTGGACATTTTTTAAAAATATATGTTTTTATGGGTTTCAGAGAGGAAGGGAGAGGGAGAGAGAAACATCCATGATGAGAGAGAATCATGGATCAGCTGCCTCCTGCACGCCCCCTAACTGGGGATCAAGCCCACAACCGGGCATATGCCCTTGACCACAGGACCCTCTATCCACTGTGCCACACCGGCCAGGGCTGATGAGAGTCTTTAGGTGCCGGGTCTGGGTCTGCAGGTCCAGGGAGGCGCCGCCGCCGCGGGTCCGCGGGTCACGGTGCGGGTGGAAAGGGCCAGGCCAGCGCGTCTCAGGTGAAGCGCAGGGTCCCCCACAGAGCCGGTTCCAACCCAGGACCAGATCCCTGGTCCAGGAGGGCTGGGGCAGGGCCTGAGGCTGCACTTCCTACAAGTTCCCAGGCGGGGCGAGGCTGCAGGGCTTGGCGGGAAACACACGGCGTGATCCCAACGGGGCCAACTACAGGGCTAGGAGGGCAGCGGGGGTTAGGTGGGTGGGGTCAGACCGTCTGGAGCCTGACAGCCCCTGCCCCCCACCCCTCCCTGTCAACAGGGCAGGCCAGGACCATCAGGGGGTGGAAGAGGACCCTGTTTCCGAGGGCTCACTCTCCCCTCTCCCCTCTCCCCTGGCAGTGCTTACCGGACAGGCGAGGTGGCCTACAGGGGCGTCACCAGCAGCGTCTCCATCTCCAAATACAACTCCACCCTCCAGGAAAGCCTCTACAGGTGAGGCGGCGGGCCAGCTGCCTGGCTGTGAGCAGGGGTGAGGGGGTCAGGGGCTGTGACGTCAGGGAGCCCCTCTCCCTGGGCCTCTCTGAGGTCCGGCCTCCGGGAGCCCATGTGGTGTCAGGAGCATCTCAGCACCGAACTCATTCACCCCCTGCCCCCCGACTCCTTGTGCAGAGAGCACCATGGGGTCAGGGGTGTCCCCAGAGTTTACCTGGTTGCCAGAGACACTTAGTAAGTTTGGGGGCCAGCAGTCAGCCAGCTGTTTGGAGTAAACCCTGCTGCAGGGTTTGGGGGGCGGGGGGAGCAGCAGTGGGGAAGTGCCAGGGGCCTGCGGTCAGGAGCAGGGGCCCACCCGGAGGGCATGGCCTCCCCCTGAACCTCCTCATCAGGTGTCAGCTTTGCACTGCAGCCCCACCCGGCCCCTCCCCACCGAGAGGGCGCCTGGGGACACTCCACCAGCTGGCGGTGTCTACCTCCGGAGAAGGGAGATGAGAGAAGAAGCAAGGCTCCCAGAGAAGGGGTGGGAGGGAGGGAAAGGAGCCGGCTGCTCCTGGTGCCTGCCTTGTGTCAGGCAGTGCCTGCTCTGTGCCAGGTGATCTGCAGGCACCTTTGCTGGCAGTGCCTGCTCTGTGCCAGGTGATCTGCAGGCACCTTTGCTGGTGAGCATCATGGGACCTGCCAGAGGAAGGTTAGGCTTCCTGCTCCGTTGTGGAAGAAGCTGGGACAACAGAGTCACCAGTTCAGAGGATGGGAATCTGGCCAATGTGTGCAACCACCACTGGAAAGGGGCGGGGGGGAGGGGGCAGCGAGAGGGGAGGGTTTGACTGAGCTGTTTCCATTCCTGGTGAGCTCACCGGAGGGGCCTCCCACCACGAAGGAGAAGGTCAGAATCTCCATGTTTTTGTGCAAAAGAAATGGGATAGGAGCTGAGCACGAGTCAACCAGGGGAGGCTTCTTGGAAGAGGTGGCTAACGTGTCCTTTTCCCACCTCTGTCTTTCCTCCTTCAGATCTGAATGCCCTTCCCAGCGGTACGTCTCTCTCCAGTGTTCCCGTAAGAAGATGCTCCTCCTCCTGACTGTGGCCTGTGGGGGTGGGAATCTGGGGCAGAGAGGTGGGGCCTCTCTGGGGACCATGGCTGGTCTGGGGTCTGCCAGGAAGAGGGGCTTAGCCAGCAGGCCTGCTTCAAGGCCAGGGTTCCTGGTGAAGAATATTAATATGACTACTAATGATAGTGGTTTGTGTAGCCATAGCCATCCCTGACCTCAGCCCAGCAGCTTTGCTCACCCAGAGAAGTGCTTCTGGACTCTGGGTTCTGGGTTCTGGGTTCTGGGCAGGGGCAGCGGCCTGGAGAGCAGGGCCGGCCCACTGACAGCCCCTCTAGCCACAGGCAGAAACCTGGATCTAGAGCCAGCACCCCTCGCGGTGTTATGTGCAAGGCGCTTGCTGTGTCTTTACAAGCGTGAGCCGGTTTGATTCCCCGGAGGCAGGCACTCTTACTGCCCCCTCACCGAAAAGAAGCGGAAGTGTTTACTTGCTTAAGGTCAGACCTCTGGTCGGGGAGGAGTTGACCTCTGACCGAGGGTCTGATCCCGAAGCCCAAGCTGGTCATTGGTCCCCGAGAGGACTGTGTTCTCAGCAATGGCCAGGTGGGGTTCTCCTCTGAGCAGGCCGGGCACGCGGTGCTAGGGACGGAGTGCCACCCAGACACTGGTTCCCACGCTGTCCCCCGAAAGAGGAAAGAGCCCAGCTGCCCAGACCCCAAGGCTGCCCGCCTTGTCCACGGTTTTGGGGGGATGACTCCCTCCGGGAGATGCCGGGAAATGTTCCCTGGGATGAAGGACCCCCACAGCATGAACTGACCCCCTGAGGAACCACGTGGGCACCATACCACCTGTGCATCGTGGGAAGTTTATGTCTCCGCTAGGTTTAGGGAGAGAATGGCGGTCCCAGCACAGCGCCTATTAACTGAGGGTCATAGGAGATTGATCTGCTTCTTGAGCTCCTGACAGCAGCCCCGAGATGTCCCGTGGCAACCCCGATGCCCGCCACCGTGCCCGGCACAGGCCCAGCATATCGGGCACTTATTGGGCATTTGTTGAAATTGAGGAAGAGTGAAGGGGGCAGAGGAAAGAGGGACCTGCCTGGGATCAAACTTCCTGCTGGGGGTCCCAGGAAGCTAGCCACCACGGGGGCTCCTGCCTTGGCAGGAAACACAGCCATATCAGACTAAGCGGGCAGAGTGGTGCCCACGGGCGGGTGGGTGCCCTCGGGACCAGGCTGCCCGAGCCTGCCCTGGGCCCAGGGAGCATGGCAGGGCTTGGAGAGAAGCAGCGCTCACGGGTCGTCTTCTCTGCTTCCCCAGACTGCGGACTGAGGGCCATGACGGGGCGCATCGTGGGAGGGGCACTGGCCCCCGAGAGCAAGTGGCCGTGGCAAGTCAGCCTGCACTATGGCACCACCCACATTTGCGGGGGCACGCTGATCGACGCCCAGTGGGTGCTCACGGCTGCCCACTGCTTCTTTGTGTAAGTGCCGAGGGGCAGGTGATGCGAGGCTGCGGGGTTCGGGGTCACCAGAAGGGCTGGTGTGAGGCCGCCCTCCCCTCTCCAGGGGCCCTTGGTCCTGGGCGTCTGTTCTGCATCCGGCCCAGCCTCAGGTGATGCTTTTGCTTGGTTGCCCCAGGGAGAGTGCGGAGACAGGGGGAGCCTGTCCTGAAGGCCAGGCGCTGGGCTCCTGGCGGCTGGTTCCTGGAACCAGAACTTACAGGAGAGGAGCTGGGGAATCCGGACACTGTCTGGGGAACTGAGGGCTGGGGGAGGGGCCGGAGTGGCAGCCAGGCGTGTCCATGAGCAGTGGGCAGGGAACAGCTGGAGAGCCGCCTTGGGCACCCTGCCCAGCAGTGAGTCCTCAGCGGCCACTCTGTCCTGCCTAGACCTCTGCTTCTACTGAGGACAGTAATACTGAGATGTGTACTGCCCCCGACTGGATCTTTGGGGCGTGCGGAGGAGACAGGGGGTGACTGCTCCCAGAGATCCTGCTCGGGCCCTCCCTTTCCGTTGGAGGGTGCAGGTGCAGGCTCGGGATGACTTGGGGGTGAGGGGCATTGCTTTGCAGCCCTGAGCTGAGACAGGCCGCCTCCGGAGGCCACGTCACCCGTCCTCCTGCCACCAAGCTGGGGCCCGCAGCGCAGCTCCTGTGGCACATGCCGCCCTGGGGGGGGCTGGCAGGCAGGTGACTGGTCTTGCTCCCCTGTGGCCCCTGCAGGACCCGGGAGAAGATCCTGGAGGGCTGGAAGGTATACGCCGGCACCAACAACCTGCAGCAGCTGCCCGAGGCGGCCTCCATCTCCCAGATCATCATCAATGGCAACTATTCTGACGAGCAGGACGACTACGACATTGCCCTCATGCGCCTCTCCAAGCCCCTGGCCCTGTCCGGTGCGTGAGTCAATGCCGGTCACACCGGTCGGGCTCATCGCAGCCCTCACCCTGGCCGCATCTGCTGACCCGTGGGGTGGACAGAGCTTCAGTGTGTGGAGTCGGGCGCAGAGGACACTTAAGGGGACATCGTTGTGTTACAATTAGGGAAACTGAGGCCCAGAGGGGGGAAAGGAGTTTGCCCAGATGGCACAGCTTACATGCAAGCTGGTGCCGGGCCAGGGCTTGGGTGCGATATCATAGGATCCCTAACAAACAGGTCGCATGTTTTCCCCGTTAGTCACGGAGCCTCGCGAGGGCCAGGCACTGGGAGGCGTGTGACAGCCGTGATCGCGCTGGCTCTGCACAGCCGGTCCTGCGGGCAGGTCTGTCGTCAGCGTAGTTTCCATGGAGGAGAGGGGGCTGTGGCGGCAGCCCCAGGACCGGCCGGTGGTCCAACCCCCTCCCCCCGCCCCCTGGCAATGCTCTTCCCACTCAGCTGCGGGCGCGGGGCTGGCCCTCGGGGACACCTGGGAGTCAGATGCTGACAACCAGTTGCCATGTGGTGGGGGCTAAGGACCAATGGGGCACACGAGGAAACGCCACTGAAGTTCTCAGGGGACCAAGGAGGGCGCCATGCACGAATGCACTCACTCAGTTGTTCACTTGCGACTACGGAGTGCCCGCTTCGGAGTGGGCTCCGGGGTGGCCAGTGCAAATGAAGCGGACAGCCAGGGGGCTGAAGGTGGGGTGCCGGGGGGGAGCCATGGGCCCAGTGTGGGCAGGCAGGACAGGGAGGCTCTCCGAGGAAGGCTGGCTCAGCGGGCCGGGCTGCCGGGGGCCTGGGCGGCTCTGGTCCGTCCGGCCGTGCCTGTGCTCTGGGCCCGTCACCCCCGGAGGCGGGTGGTGAGTCAGAGCTGTGAGTGAGCTCAGCAGGGTGGAGTGAGGAGGAGGGAACCTTGGTGGAGCCCAGCTGGCCGGCCTGACCCAGAACTACCCCCGCCTGAGCCACAGCCTCCTGTGGGCGAGACCTCTGCCCTCCTCCCACTCCTCCAGCCGTATCTGCGGTGCCCTGCCCTGCCCCGTACACACGGGAGAGGGGCAGCGAGTCTGCAGGGCCGGAGCAGGCCTTTCCGACCCCGTAAAGCCGTCTCCACTTCTGCAAGGCCCGGAGGACTCACAGCCCCGGGGGGCTGTCCTGGGGTCAGACCCGTCTCCTGACCCTTGGCCTAGAAACCAGAGCGGTCCCGTCGGCCACACGCAGGCCACGCACCTTGCGGTCACAGAGCGATCGGAGAAAACTCACGGAAACTCGCTGGGAAACTTAGTTTCCGTAAGATTAGTGGAATGTGTATAAGTTCCAGGTGTCCCAGACTCTGTTGCAAAAATAGGGGTAGTATATTTTAAGAGATGGTGTTTTGCATATTTTGTTAATAATTGATACTATCCCTTCACTTATTTCTTGTTTGTTTACTCTGAGGCAGACAGGTATGTTAGATGCCAATGTGCAAAGCCCAATTTATAAGTGAATTTCTTTAAAATATGTTTTTAGTGATTTCAGAGAGGAAAGGAGAGGGAGAGAGAGAGAGAAACATCAATGATGAGAATCATTGACTGGCTGCCTCCTGCTCACCTCACACTGGGGAGAGAGCCTGTAATCCAGGCATGTGCCTGACTGGGAATCGAACTGTGACCTCCTGGTTCATTGGTTGACGCTCAGCCACTGAGCCACGCCGGCCGGGCTATAGGAGAATTCATTCTCCCTCCCTCCTTCTCTCTCCTTCCTTCAAAGTTTGCTGAGCGTTTATATTCCCGGTGCCTGAAGCTGCAGTGAACAAGAGCAGCTGAGAGCACGCAGACGTGTATCCATGCACGTTGCCTTCTCGGGAGCGGGAGGGGGTGGTCAGTGCCCGCGGCCTGAGGAAGGGTGTCCTCAGAGGAGGCACGGAGTGACCCACAGCAGCCCCGCACCTGCTCATTGCCTCTGAGGCGGAGCGAGTGAGCAGCGGTGCCGTGGCCTGGCCTCGGAGGCACACCCTTCCTGCCGGGAGAGGCTGACTAACCCGGAGGGAGAGCCATGGGTCCCGGCCACCGGCCGCCGGCAGAGCCCCCAGACCGGGCTGAGCACTCCCCGAGACAGCGTGGCCATCACACTGGACGTAGCCTGCGATGGCTCCGTGTTCTGGGGGACAGGCAGGGAGAGACGGGCAGGAGAGCCATCCTCGGGGGTAGAGACCCGTCACCCGGGATCTTTTTGGTCCAAGGCATACACCTCTGCCCACATGGCACCCCCTGGCACCAGGATGCTTGGGGAACTCTGGTAGCACCCTGAGGACTGGGGGGTCAAGTAAAGTGATTGGCTCTAGGCGGTTTGGCTCAGCAGAAGGAGCGTCAGCCTGTGGAGCAAAGGGTCCCAGGTTCGATTCCGGTCAAGGGTATGTACCTCACTCACAGGCTTCTCTCTGACCCAGGCCCTGGTCTGGTGCATGCAGGAGGCAACCAATCAATGTGCTTCTCTCACATCGATATTTCTCTCTGTCTTTCCCTGTCTCGTCCACTCTCTCTAAAATCAATGGGGAAATATCCTCGGGTGAGGATTAAAAAAGAAAGGAAGAAAAAATAAAGTGATGGGTCAGTGCCATTCCCGGAAGACTCAGAACTGCTCTGGGGACCGGGAAAGGCTCCTGGGACATTAGTCCCTCATCATTCCACCTCCCCAACCCCTCACCCTCCCACCCTTCACCCCCCCACCCCCTCACCCCCCTCCGAGAGTTCGGTGCCTCCGCTGACGTGAGGTCCCCTTGCAGCTCACATCCACCCGGCCTGCCTCCCCATGCACGGACAGACCTTCAGCCTCAATGAGACCTGCTGGATCACGGGCTTTGGCAAGACCAGGGAGACAGATGGTGAGAGGCGGGGGTGCTAGGCTGTGTGCATGTGCACATGTGTGCCTGTGCGGGTGCCGTGTGTGTGTGTGTGTGTGTGTGTGTGTGTGTGCAGTGTGTGGGGTGACGGGCTGGGTAGGTAGGTAAGGGCCTAGCTAATGAGGGTTTGGGTCTCTGACCTCACGGGCCTCGGTGGGACTGTGTGACCTGTGTGTACGTCAAAGCAGTCATGTGACCGTGCCCTCTGGCTAAGACCACCGTGAAACTTCTAGAACCGCACAGGTGGGGCTCTGCTCCTGCCCGAGTGGGACACTCGCCACGGAGCCAGGGCGCCTCCCAGCAGGGGCGTCGGGAAGGACTCAGCACAGGGCCTGGGGCTTGGGTTTCAGGGGAGCTGTCTCTAGAGTGGATGCTGTCGGGGAGCAGGTCTGTGATCGGGTCCCTGAGTCATCTTGTCTGGGGCTGTGGCCACACGGGGTCTGCAGCTGCCATTGGCGAGGAAGCGGCGGCCGTCCCTCCGTGGGAGGGTGCTGGCTGGCGTGGCGGTTTGCATGGCAACCTGCCTGCTTGCGCCTGTGCCTGCCCAGGTTAGGAAGCGCCTATCGCGGCCCCGGAGCGGCCTGGTCTGATGCTGGCCCGGTAGGTTTGTTTCTAGGTGCAGGAGACCGCCCAGGCCTGTCCACCCGCCATGAGATGCAGGCCAGGCTCCCCTGGTCAGTGTGCCTGGCCTGGGAGCTGCTCATTCTGACCTCGGCTCCCGGGCTGACCAGCTGGGGGACTGGCCGTCCCTTCTGCAGCCTGGCCGTCTCCATCTGCAGATGGGCCAGCTCGTAGTTCCTGGAAGCAAAGGGAGGGCCCTGGGCGATGGCGCTTTGACACGGAAAAGCACCGTGCAGCATGCAGGGCAGACTGAGAGGCTGCGTGTCTGTGTCCATCTGTCTCTGTCATGTGTAGTGAGCTGTGTCTGGCCTGAGGGTGTGTGTGTGTGCACATGTCTGGGTGGCCAGCCCCGGGGATGGTGCCTTCCACACCGAGGGGCTGAGTTGGGGTCCTGGGCAGTTGGAAGGCCGGAAGCTGACATCTGACCCCCCCTGCCCCCCCGCACTCCCTGAAGAGAAGACTTCCCCCTTCCTGAGGGAGGTGCAGGTGGGCCTCATCGACTTCAGGAAGTGCAACGACTACCTGGTCTACGACAGCTACCTCACCCCCAGGATGCTGTGCGCGGGGGACCTGCGGGGCGGCCGCGACTCCTGCCAGGTGAGCTGCTCGGGGTGGGGCTCGGGCTCCGGGACCCAGGCTGTGGGGGAGGTGGAGGTGCTGATCAGAGGGGAATCGGGGCCCAGCTTCCTGCACAAGGCCTCTCCCCCGCTCTGCTGATGTGTGTGCTCCCCGCAGGGGGACAGCGGGGGGCCCCTGGTCTGCGAGCAGAACAGCCGCTGGTACCTGGCAGGGGTCACCAGCTGGGGGACGGGCTGCGGCCAGAGGAACAAGCCCGGCGTGTACACCAAAGTGACGGAGCTCCTGCCCTGGATATACAGCAAGATGGAGGTGAGGCGGCGGGGCACTTCCGGCGGTGCAGCGCCCACAGGGGCACCGGGAGAGGGCCCCTTCCCTGCTCTCAGCGGGCCCCTCACGTCCCCCTACCAGGGGGTCACAAAGCACAGAAGATGGGACAGGACAGGGGTCACACCCTGGGCCAGCCCCGCGAAAGGTGCCCTGCACTCTTCGTCCTTGAGTGGAGCAGGGTCCGAGGGTTCAGGGGGTGGGCCTGCGGGGGTGTGGCCAGTGCTGCTCCTCTCCCCGGGATGGGGGGGCACACTGTGCATCACATAGGCCATGGGGTCACAGACAGCTAGGGGACGGGGGAGGGGTCCACGGAGGAGGGAGGGCTCCCCTCCTGGAAGTGGGTCCCTGGCGGAATCGGGGTGTCAGGAAGTGGAGGTTCACCCCTCCAGCTGAGCCAGCCCTCCCTTCCCGGGCCAGTGTCTGAGCTGGAAGGCCGGTGCTCTGCCTGCTGAGCCCGCTGCTGGAGGCTGCGAGGCCGGCCACGCGGCACCTGGCTCAGGTCACCGGGCCCTTCTCCGCCGCTCCCTGCCTGCTGCTCAGCGGACATGCAATGTGCGTGTGTGTGTGTGTGTGCATGCGTGTGTGTGTGTGCTTGGGATTGTGTGCATGCATGTGTGCACGTGTGGGTTGTGCGTGCATGTGCTTGCTCTCCCAAGCTCTTCAGAAACCAGGAGGGCGGTCAGCTCTTCCCAAACCCCAGGCTGAACACCTGGAAACCACAGTGTGGCGCCTGGAGACACCCACAGGCATGTCCCGCGGAGGAGACGCCGGGAAGGGCCTGGAAGGTCACCTCGGGGATTGTCGCCCCTCTGACCTGGACTCGGAGACGGGCCCAGAACACGCAGCCGCCGGCAGCCCGGTGACACCAGCACGTCCGGGTGGTGATGGTCTCGTCGGAGCGCCCACGTCCCTGGCAGGAGGAGGCTCCGTTGGCATCGCCAGCATCTGCTCCCGCCGGCCCCCAGCGCTGTGTGTGGAGCTGCGATGGCCAGGCTGACCCGGTAGACGGCTCACTGATCATGTTTGGTCATGGCAGTTGCGTGTGGACTTGACTTTATTTTTATATTTAAGAAACAGAGTTGGATGTATTTTTAAAGATTCTCCCGAATGCCTGCAGATAGGAGAGCAAGCACCTTCACGCTCAGAGCTCCGAGGGCCCACGGGGCGAGCTGCTCCGGGGTTGGGCAGGTTCCTGGCCTCTGGGGCTGCAGGGCTGCGGGCTCCTGTGCCTCCTCAGGTGAACCTCGGGGAAGGGGGCAGACCAAGGGCAGAGAGAGCCACGCTGGCGCTCACCCAGGGCTCCGCCCAGGGCAGGAGGAATGGGCGCTGCTCCTCCTTGGGCCCTGGAGGCGGGGATGCCATCTGGGGACTTGGAAGTCTTTTCTCCGCTTTCTCCATTTCCATCTCTAGCTGTCTGAAACAACACTGACATGAACGTTGCCATGGAGAGGACGTGGACACTGCCCCCAGGGTCCCCCACCCCCACCCCGCAAAACACAGCCCTTCCGAATGCTCCCCTGCCATGCCCTGCCCTGCGAGCCCTCAGGGCACCTGCCTCTATGGCAGCCCCAGGCCTGGACCTTCCAGCCTCGCTCCCACTCCTCCCGTCCGGTTCTCCTTACCTGGCCTGGGCCTGTCTGGTGGTGTATGGCTCCCAGGGGCAGGGCCCAAGCAGATCGACCCACCCAGCCATGGCAGGCAGCCGCTTGGGGAGGTTGCCCTGGAAGAGCAGTGGAGTGGCAAGTGGCTGGGCAGCGTAGGTGGGCTGGCCACGTGCTACGAAGGCTGGGGTGGAGGGCGGGCAGCGTGACCTCCCCCAGCCCCCAGCAATGGCCGTCAGCAATAAAAGTTGTGTGAACACGTTGTCGCTGGATTGGTCCTGGTACTCGGGGTAGGAACTGGAGAAGGCCCACGCGGCCACGCAGACATCCGCAGTGTGGGCTCTGCGTGTTGGTGCCTCTGCTCTGGGTTCGGCTCCCTTCACCATCGCTTCTTTGTGGACTCGTGCACCAGCCGTGTCAGCCTGGCCTGGACCAGGTGCCCCTACCGGGCCCGGGGATGTGCAGACACGATGGCGGCCTCAGGTGCGCACAACTGTGACCGACACGGGGGCGGCTGTGGCCAAGTCTGGGCACCGCACGTGGAGCATGGGTGGAGCAGCCACAGCTGTACCCACAGAGGCCAAGGAAGGCCTCACAGAGGAGGCGAGGTTTGAGATGAGTCTCCAAGGGCAGGCGAGCAGACCGAGCGGATGGAGATGGGCAAGGACACTGTTCTGTCCTTCCTCTCCCGGGCTGGCCTCTTTCTCCGCCTCCGACTGTGCGGGCTCAGGGAGAGGCATATGCACAAGGAAGCCCCAGAGCTCACTCAGCCATTCCCACGAGAAATGGATGGGTGGCCCCTGGCCTCCTCTGAGAGATGTATTTCTTCTTGCTCTGCCCTTACTGCCCCCTGCGTTTACTATGCTGACCTCAACCATTGCGATCCCCCTGGTGGGTGCCAGCACCCCCAGGAGACCTCACGATACACACACAGCGTCCGGCCACCAGCAGGGAATTCTCCAGGCTGCCCCCCCCCGCCCCCCACCGCTGGCCTGGCCTGGTTTGCTTGCTTTGGTCTCTCGTTTTGATGCCAGGGGCCGTCCTCCCTCCAATTCTTTTTTTTTAAAATAAATAATTCATAAGATTCATAATAATATTTTTATTGATTTCAGGGGGAAAGGAAGAGGGAGAGATAGAAACATCAAAGATGAGAGAGAATCACTAATTGGCTGCCTCCTGCACGCCCCCCCAACTGGGGATTGAGCCCACAGCCCGAGCATGTGCCCTACCGGGAATTTGAACCCGACCTTCTGGTTTGTGGGTCGATGCTCAACCATTGAGCCACACCGGCTGGACAGAAAAGCCTGCAACCAAGGTATGTGCCCTTGACTGGAATCGAACCCAGGACCCTTCAGTCCACAGGCCAATGCTCTATCCACGGAGCCAAACTGGCCAGGGCTCCAGTTCTTTTTTGCTTCATCCAAACAAGAAGGTCTGAGGAGAGGGCAGATGCCAGGCCTGCTGTGTCGCCAGGAGGTGTAACACAGCTGCTGTAACGGATCTACCGTTTCCCACAATCTCAGTGGCTTAACCCAACCACAGTTTTCTTCTCAGCCGCCTACCCAGCAAGGAGGGTGTCTGCTCCGGGCAGGCTCTCCTCCGCGTGGTTTTCCAGGGACCCAGACTCTTCCCACCTCGTGACTATCGGCTGCTTCTGCGGGGGGAGAGAGGAAAGGAAGCTCACTACCTCCTAACACGGCTCAGGCGGGAGGCACAGCTCTCTCATCCGCATTTTATGGGGGTCGACCTCCCCAGGGCGCAGCCTAAGTGAAGCGGGCCAGTTCCACGCCAGAGCGAGCGCTCACTGGGGGACAGCCCGCTGTCTCTGGTCCTCCCAGAAGGGGCCTAAAGAAAAAACTCTGTAGACGGATCTGCAGGGTGGGGAGTGTTGAGGAATGTCTGGGTAGAGAGAAAGAAACACATTCCTTAGCCCCCGTCAATAGAGATGACAAAAATCAGGCAAGGGTGATGGGACTTCCCAGATTAGTTCAGAGTCTCCAGGGACGTGTGTGGTGTATGTATGTGTGTGTGCATGTGCGTGTGCGTGTGCGTGTGCGTGTGCGTGTGGTGTGCGTGTGTCTGTGTGGTGTGTGTGTGCATGTGGTGTGTGTGCGTGTGGTGTGTGTGTAGTGTGCGCGCACGCGCGTGCGTGTGCGTGCGGTGTGCGTGTGTCCGTGTGGTGTGCGTGTGTGTGTGCATGTGGTGTGTGGTGTGTGTGTGTGCGTGTGTGTGTGTGATGGTGGGAGAGGTGTTGCTGGTGATGCTGTCCTGTGGTCCCTGGTTCCAGGCACCTCCAGTTCCAGTCAAAGTCTCTGGCTCTGTCAACTGTTGACTGCTGCGTTTCCCGGGGAGGGGGGGGTGCGTGAGTGGGTTGGGGGGCAGACGATGGCTCTTCAGAAGGACAGCCAGTCACAGCCCAGCTGCCCATCAGCGGCCTCTGGGTCCGGTTAGATTCTGAGGCTGCTGTTTCCCTCATTGTGCAGACGATGCCCTGGTGCAGGTGGGAGGACACAGACGCAGGCGGGAGCTGCGGGAGCGACAGCGAAAGGGGAGTAGTCGCAGCCAGCACGCGCTGAGCGGCCGCTGTGCGCCAGACACAGAGCTGAACACCTGGTGTGTTACCGCCCGTAGCACGGAGCAGGCATGGCTATTATTGCATTCTATGCAGGAAGACACAAGGGGAACTGGAATAAATGTCTCCAGACCACTAAGTAGAGGCGTTGAACTTTGAATCCAGGCTGTCCCATTGGAAAAGCTGCTTTTCAAAACCAGGTGGAATCCAGCTCTGTGGCCTCATGGGTCTGCCTCCTGGCCGTGTGGGTTGCTCTATTCTCCGCTGGGCCTCTGCGGTGGGACGGGCCGGGGGCAACTCCCCAGGGAGGGCTGGCACACCCTCAGAGTGTCACATGGCCGAGGCTTGGACCAGGCAGTTTCCAGAACCTGGGACCAGTCATCACGCGCAGGAGGAGGCCCCCTGCACCTCCACCCTCACCCCAAGTGGGTGATTTCTGGAAGGCCCGCCCAGGCCATGACAAGCTGTCAGGCCAGCCACCTCCATGTCACCTTGACGTGGGTGAGTGGCTCTGAGAGGCACATGCCACTCGTTCCCTACCTCCTCCGCACGGCCCAGGCTTCCTGTTCCTGGTAATCTACCCCCCGCCCAGGCAGCAGGCTCCATCCTGGTCTTACCAAGGGCCTCCCTGAGCCCATGGGGGACCATGCTCTGCAGAGAGGCCCTGGACTTCCCGGGCAGGAGGCTTTATCAGATGAGTCCTCCCAGAGGGGAGGGCACGGCCTGGTCGTTGGTCTCCACAGCTCAGCTCCTGCCAGCAGGGCAGAAAGTGAGAATAGGAGGTGTCTTCTGGCCCAGCCCTGAGTCCCAGAATCCTCCACTTCTCACACAAGGAGAGCCCTGGGAATCTTCTTCATTAGTCTGTTTTGTTTTTTAAATGTATTTTTATTGATTTCAGAGAAGAAGGGGAGGGAGGGAGAGATAGAAACATAAATGAAAGAGAATCATTGACCAGCTGCCTCCTGCGTGCCACACACTGGGGACTGAGCCTGCACCTCAGGCATGTGCTCTGACCAGGAATTAACCATGACCTCCTGGTTCATAGGTTGATGCTCAACCACTGCGCCACGTGGCTGGGCTGGGAATCTCCTTTGAATAAGCCCTTCTAATTATACACGTTGTAGTGGAGAGAGCACTGGAATCAGAATGGAAGTATCTGGAGGTACGAATCCCAGATCCACCACTTACATAGCCGTGTGATCTGGGACAGGCCGACCTCTATTTCTCCGTCTGTGGAATGGGTGTGTCTGTCTCACATGTTGCAGGATTAAGTGGGAGATACAGGTAAACACTCAGGGCAGTTATTGGTGTAGTGTGACCTCTCAATAAATGTTGAACTTGCAGCAAGAGGGCCAGGCCCTTCCCCTCCAGGTCCCTTTACCGGACAAATAAGATAGGAGAGGGAAAATTGGATAAACCTTCAGGTCTCAGGACATTTGCCATTTCTCTGCATGAACTGCCCTCTTGGTCTTATTATAAAAACTAAAGGCCTGGTGCATGAAATTCATGCACAGGGGTGGGGGTGGGGGTGGTCCCCAGCCCGGCCTGCACCCTCTCCAATCTGGGACCCCTTGGGGGATGTCCGACTGTCTCTTGCAATCCAGGACTGTTGGCTACTAATCACTTGCCTGCCTGCCTGCCTGATCACCCCTAACTGCTCACCTGCTGGCCTGATTGCCCCTAATTGCTCCCCTGCTGGCCTGATCGCCCCTAACTGCTTCTGCCTTGCCCTGCACCTGGGACCCAGGATTCCCTCCTCCAGCTGGTCGCAGGCACCTAGGACCCGGGTTTCCTTCCCTCCCTCTGGCCGGCCGCAGGCACCCA